GGCTCGCTGTGACGTCATAATATCTGTCTAATTCCGAGAGATCACTCTCAGTTCTGCATCAGAAATATCGAGTTGAATGATAGTTAGCATGTATCTTTTTTTCAATTCCTAATGGCCTGGCGCGTGCATCTCTGTCCCCCTTATCCACCAATTAACCCAGTATAGGTTACTAAAACGGGACCCCTAATGACAGCGGCATGCATCACGTATTGACAGCTAAAGAATGGTATAGAAATGCCAATTGGAGTCAGTCAATTCAGCTAAAATGGGATGTGAAAGGCAATATATTTCGAAGCTGGTATGTGTGGGGATAAGTGTATTACATTCAGTCCCACACACTCATAACACCCTGAATCAGAAGCTCTGTTAAAATCGAGCGGTATTCTTCGTGATACAAATTATACCGGTGTAACAGGAATCTGAATTATAGTCCTTCCCCAATTACTTTGTACAGGTGACATTCGTCCCATATACTAACTAAATCATCATGTATCCCAAATGCTTCATCCAGTTCTACCGGATATACCGACTGAATTCAGTCCATTTCTTTTATTTCACCTTATAATGTCCCAAATGATTTATATTTGTCATTAAAATGGCCATGACATCGCATTTTACTTTAAGTCACGGAGTATTTTTCGATGTTCCGGTTATATATATATATACACTGTATATATATTCCTCTGGAAAATGAAACTTAACTGTGCATTGTGAATGCAAGCACTAGATTAATAAACATGTCCGCATAATGAGCTAGTATTTCAAACCACGTGTCTACAAGGTCCGATATGTAATCAACGTTCTTTGTGGTCTTTGACACGCCCATATCATTAACAGAAACCGTTTTCCTGCCGAGAACGCGTAGATAAATTCAAAGGAATGCAGTGTATCTCACTTGAACTTAACTGATAATAAATATTGTCGTTAAGTCAATAACAAATCAACGCGGTGCGTTGTGTCCGTTTTAATGCCACTTAAGTTTTGAGGCATATTGTTTGTCGTATCTTACAGAGTGAATATACAACACAACTGACTCGAAAGAATGTTTATCAGAACAATAGTTGATTAAAAATGACGCTTACACCACCGTATCATTACCGATCTCGGACGCGCATGCACAATATTTTTCACCAAGCCTCCGCGTCTCTGATTGATATAGTTCTTGTCCAATTTCCAAACATTTAAACACACATAAGAAACGATATCGTTTATCAGATACATCAAATCGCACCAACAGTAACATTTACGAGTAAAGAAACACAAATTAGATTATTGTCAATGGCAAAGTACCCTAAAAAATAATGAATTAACGAGACCTCCTACGTGAATCCCTGTGTTGTTGTAAAGATGATCTCTTTCAGCTGACGATCACCCCGAGTTTCGCGGGTTTCGGCAGGGGTGCTGGCAATATCTCGTCTTTGCCCATTATACCTTGCCTTATCAGGGTGGTACACGTATACGGAGCTGACACTACATGTAGATACAATTTCCCAGGAAGCAAGGCGGCATATAAGCTTGGAGGCCAACTGAACGTTAACCCAACGCCGAAAAGCCATCGACAATCAGATGTCAACCGTGCCAACGTCGGACCACCGTCATGTCTTAATTCAACTCTGAAACTCAGGGTCCGTGTGAGCTCCTAGTTTGTTAATCTACTCGTAGCTCACAGAACACATGTACAAAAAGATCCACCTTTAAGAGGCATTTTCACCTACGGCGATCATTACAGTGGATGTTTTAGGGACTCCATAACACTGAACGTAGTAATCTAAGTAAACACCACCCTTTCTGGCCATGGGGCCCACGTTATATAGACCAACAACAAATTTAAGGTCAAATTCAAGTTGACGGACACACATTACAAAAAGTCTACTAGTAATAAACTTAATGATGGTCTTCACGAATTCAAGACAGGTTACCCAAAAACGTTTTGTAAACACAGTTGCGGTAATTAAATGCACTAAATATAAGTGGATCATTATAGCCACAATGAATTGTTTTAATATGAATAATCTGAACGCACATGTCAAGTGTATACAGATACTTTGGCCTCGTATTGGTTTTCAAGGCTGTACCGCGTGACCAGGCCATTGGAGTGTCGTTTCAGGTACATCATCTTGATGGCTTATTTTTGATACAATTTAATCTAAACAGTAAAAAACGGGGATAAACGACCGTTGATTAATTATTTAGTTTATTTATTTTTCATTTGTTTGCTTATTTGTTTTGGGTCTAACGGAAAGGCATCTCATCGCGATTTTCTCAAATGCTTGTGCTTTGATTGGGATTATTACTGAAAATTCAACATAAATGACACATTCCCTTTTTGTCCTCTATTTGCCTTTCTTTCTTTCTTTCTTTCTATCACCATTAAGAGAATCTGTAAGTAATGTACTATTTCAATACTTTAACATCGACACGAGTTCAAAGGCTTTTGACATGTCATACCACACTTGCCAGTGCCAAACCGTCTTCTTTTATTACAGAAATTCACATTTACCGCCTGGTTTCTTGATTTATAAACAAAACTGATCACCTTCAATAGCTCAGAAGCAAATGCCTGTACCTGCTTCTCATAGAAAAGTACAGGTAAATATATGTCAAAACTGATCATAACCCGCAACAAGATAAAGAAAAATCATGCGAGGGGACATTATACCATTTCCTATCGAAACCAACCATGCCGTTATTAATGTGCGTGTAAATGCTGTCTGGATATATTAATTACAGTAAAGACACCCCTGGGATTATTTGGGAAACTCTCTCGGTTTCGTTTTCGAGATAACTGCCATTTCATTGCCAATATTGCCTAACTCAAGACTCCATTCATGTTATTATCAACGAGAAAGCATCGATTAACATACAAAATACTTAAAACGCGGCATGCAAAGTGAACATTATTGCGTGAGACGTGAGATGAACGAAGAAACCGAAGGGGCGGCCTTACAAAATACCTATAACCCCACCTAACGGGCTAAACTTTTTGTTTCGTCTACTTCTATCTAAGATAAATTCTTAGCAGTCTACTTAAAGGGATAACAACTCTTCGAATGAATTAATATATACATGAATAAATGCATTGTTAACAAGTGATAGAAATATAATTTTAATTTAAATTCTATTCTGCTACCAAAACGGGGTTTTTCGAAATTATTCTGGAATCTGTGCTTGCCACCGAACCATGTGACCTCAACGGATGGCTACCCTCTGTTAAAATCTCATAAGAGATTATTACAAAAAAGACTAACTTTTTAGAAAAAGAAAACAGGGACTTGCTTTGAATCTCGGAACGGATTTATTAACCATCGGTAAGTATGGAGAAATATTCGTTTATTCAGGAAAATCAATTTTTGGCCAAAATGAACAGTTGTCATCCCTTTAAATAACGAAAGTATTTGTCTGAAACGTTAGCTGTCTCTCCGGTTATAAGATGGCCGGGCGCAGTATTTCATTTCTTTGAACTACAACTAATTCATCTTGCGCTGAAAAGGACAATATAGTTTGGTCTACAAATTTAGTCTAGGTCTCAGGCCACTGCAATAAAAGCAGTTATTGGTTTGATCACTAAATCTGACAATATACCAAATGGTATCTACAAAATGTAAAAAAAATATCCATTTTATAATTACGCTTATTATTAATATCACCATTATGTCTGTATGCGCTTTGAATTACGAGAAAATCATTTGTATATTTGTCTGCTAAAGAATTGGCAGTTACAACACCAAACAAATAGCACTTCGTTGGGTTCCAATCGCTTTTCTGAATAGAAATAAAATGATCATTAATATGAAAGAAAATGTACAATAAATCACTTACCTATATCAATAGTAAATGCGGCCGCATGTTGAAGCCACCACAAAGAGTAGAAAAAATAGACGCTTATCAAACATTACAACAATAGGAATATATTATAGATATAGCTGGTATCAGTCCGTTGTTACATGGGTTTTTCAAGACTTCTTAATGTTACTACAGAACCACAAAGATCCGTCAGCTTGCAGCAGAATCACCGGGGCGGCTGAACAGAACAGTTTAATAAACCGACTATGGGCCGATTAAAGAAACTTTATCTCCAATATCCGACCATTTATTTAGTTGTTCTTTTTTCCCTTAGGGAGAGGACGAGATTGAAGTAAATGTCAAATGTTCCATTAGGCTGACCTGTAGATTTGTGCGTAGAAAAGAACGGCATACACACAAAGTCGATTTCACCTATATATGTGTATATACAACGAAAGAGAGAGAGAGAGAGAGAGAGAGAGAGAGAGAGAGAGAGAGAGAGCCTTGACATCCATATCGAAATATAGTTTTTATTTCTGAAACGTAAGTGAATAAAGAATTTAAAAAAGAAGTGCCTTTAATGATTTATTAACACCGAAGGTGTGAAAAAAAAAACAAACAAACAAACAAACGAAATCTAGAATACATTTGCGCCTGAGGATTATGATACAAAAAATGGCGCAGTAGACAGAATAGATGCTAGGCAATTGGGTAAAATAACGACATACAAGCAAACCCGAAATTCAATGAGTATTTGGCTCAGATATTCTCTCTCTCTCTTTCTCTCTCTCGCTCTATCTGTTAGCACTGGCATTCATCTCATTTTTTTATGATAAAAAAGACAAACCATCTATAAAAGAAAACATTTTAAAAAACATTTAATAAGAACACGAGGTGGTGAAAAGACAGCTGAGTTGAGAGAAGTAGCATTGTGTTAGAGACGCTGCTGGCTGAACAGTTTAATAAACTAAATGATCTAAAGATCAAAACATTTCACGCGTTCCCAAGATAAAGTATGCAAATATAATATATAAATGAACAGATAAATACAGAAATAAACGACACCTGAAAGCATACAAAGTTTATCAATCAAAAGACTCGTCTTAATTAAACGTCATACGAAAATACATAAAACACAACAGTGCTAGTGTCGCCAGTATTTTTACTGTCTACGAGAGCGAGGCTGTTATGTGGAAACTACAGGTGAACCTGACAGGTGCATTGTACATATATCACAGTAGTGACCTAGTTTCTTGGAGACCTCCTTTTACAATGCAGTTCGCCTTAACTGAGTGAAGTATTCATATGGCGATACGCTGAAGCAACTGAAGGAGGCATGACCTACAGTTATAAAGTACAATCATTACGGTAGGAAATTCATTAATTGAACACCCACGAATCAGACAATGCATCTAAATTATGAATCAGGAACAATCAATTTACTTTGCAGGGGTGAGGATGGGGTGCTGGGAGGGGGCTGTGAAAGCAAATGGGGGTCATCCGAGTGAGGTAGGGTTGCTGGCATTTGTATGCATCCGCAAACATGGCCCTGGACGAGACAGGCAGGCAGGGTGTACGTGTATAATCTTCAACATCTAATGATAACAGCTTGGGGTAAAAGATTGAGCAGCACTTAACACTATAGTTTCACCAGAGAGCGATTCTGTGATATCAATAGGTGATACTGTTGGTGGTAACAAAAAATGTAACAATACAATTTCATGAACATTACAGGGTGGTGCTGTGATATTGCAGGGTGGTGATGAGATATTGCAGGGTGGTGCTACTTAATATTAAAGGATGGTGCTGTGATATTGCAGGGTGGAGCTACTTGATATTAAAGGGTGGTGCTGTGATATTACAGGGTAGTGATATGATATTAAAGGGTGGTGCTGTGATATTACAGGGTAGTGATATGATATTACAGGGTGGTGATATGATATTGCAGGGTGGTGCTGTGATATTTTTGACGATGGTGTGACATTGTATGGTGGTTTGTTTGAAACTTATTGAAATTAGCTGTGATGAGTCTGAACAGTTTGACTAGATGTACAAACATAGCCCGATTTATATACAAGCTTATTCTGCTTTGATGGCCAATGTAGGCCTATATGTACCCTCTACCAGGGTGAGTGATAGATTTTTTACAGATATTCACAGATATGTCTCTAGCTAGATAGATGGTCAGTTGAGCCCTAAATGACCATCTATCTAGCTAGAGACATATCTGTGAATATCTGTAAAAAAATCTATCACTCGCCCTGGTAGAGGGTAGCCTATATGTATAGTTTTGTGTGTGTGTGTGTGTGTGTGTGTGTGTGTGCACTGAAATGTAAATTTATCTCAGACAAATAGGTTTGACTATTGTGTCAAAAATAGTGAAATGGTGAACTTAAAACAAAACGTAAAAATATCATGTCACATAAGTTTAAAAAAAAACACCTCCAATCTCTTTTATTTCAAATGCTAAACAATTCCTTCCTCTTAAGATTTCAGGACCAAAGAAGACAATGCAAGACAGGGCTGTCCAGATCACCACGTTTATGATTGGATATGTTGAGAAAACTCCGCCTGCTGCGGTTTAAGACCTTTGTATTATGCCTTACATTGGGTGTCGTCGCCGTTAGTATAGTCAACATTGTGATCACCCACTTGTATAGTCCGAATGCAGAGTTCGTGTACAGGCGCGGACCTGGAGCAGACGACACCCACAGCGCAGACAAGATATTGGGAAAGAACGAGCCTATGAAATGGGACTTGATCACCCTTGAAAGGAATGTGGAGAGTTTGTTGAAGCGTCTCCCTTATAACACGACAGCCGTTCGCAGATACAGGACTGACTTTAATGCTAAAACGCAAGCCTACGAGATCGACGGTAAACCTATTCTGTGGATCTATTGGGATGGTCCTCCTAAGTCTGCCTACATAGAACTTTGTATATTGACTGCCGTGTGTCACAACTATGGCGACTTCGACATCCGTGTCCTTAACGACACGGAGTTCATTAGTACCGTGGGATGGGTGCACCCGGCATATAAGTTCCTTACAAGTAACCATAAATCAGATTATTTTAGAATGGCGGTGCTTCACCTTTATGGGGGAGTGTACCATGACGCTGACACGATCAGTTTTGAAAGTATGAGAGAACTTTACAAACTTCTCTCAGATTATGACATTGTTGGACCCAGTGCACGAGACGGCGTCCTCCATTTTAGTAATATTGGACCTATCCGCGCCAATACGACCTTCTCGCGTGAATGGAAATCTCGTTTGCTCGAGAAACTGGACGAGAAGTTCAAGACCCCCCATCGAGGAGACCCGTTTCAATGGATCGAGATCGGCGGGGGGCTAGCGGTGCCGGTGTTTGAAAGACTTTTGAGGGAGAACCGAACCCAACATTACGGCTTCAGTGGTGCTAAAACGTGGCTGCAGTTTCAGGTTGAAGACGTGATTTCAGAAAACCGAGATTTGCTCAGGAATTTAAACAAAACTGAAATATTGGTGCTGAACAACAGATTGTTCCCGTACATGTACAGGAGAATGACAATGAGAGGCGTGTTGAGGTCAAAGAGGGGCGTGTCGCAATTGATTCGATATTCTCTAATTAACTGTCTGAAGAAAGTCTCTCTGGACCCCAATCTGGCGCACACATTGCACCTGCCTTGAAACGTAATCAAAAGTGGCAAAATATTTTTGTTCGTTTGCAAAAATAAATGAATAAAGAAAGAAAGAAGAAGTAAAAGAAAAAAAATAAAGATAAACAAAAAACACAAGGGGCTTTCGTGGTTAAATGGGGCACGTTTTTTAACTAGTTTTATAATTAATTTTTATACCATTATGTCGAGATTAGTATTCCTGCTGCTGTTTTAATTTGGCCTAAGTTAAGTTCCATCTGCTATATATCGTCAGCTGTCAAGACTACTACTACAAAGCGATAGATGGCAAAGTTCAAACTTATTCAGAAATACGAGACTTTTTGTCCCTCAATAAAGCACAGACTACGTGCCAGATTTCAAAAACTTCAAATAGTGAAATAAAAGAAATTAATAATTGTGAATGATAATGTATCATTGGCGTATTATCTTTCATCCATGTTTTGACACGATTGTGCAGTCATGATCTCCTAAATATACCGCTAAAATTCAATAAAATCATTCAGATTTCCTTCCATATAGTTCATTTTAACTTGCATAATGATGTAGAAGGCATATAATAATGTGGACGAAATCACAAAAAAAAAAAAAAAAAAAAAAAATCATATGTCAACTTTTCTTTTTTTAATCTTCTTGCTCTGATTTGCCTGCGAGGAGCTGGAGGAGAAAAGAAAGGGGTTCAGTTATCATCAACATATCCAGATGATGTCAAATGCGTCAACGCAAATGGCTATAATATCCTCCGTTGACAAATACCCTGCGCATGCCATTGCGTTTTTTTTTTATCTTGTCATAAAGGACGAAACATCGTATTCTCTGCATAATATCAAGGAGTTATAACAGAAGGAGATTACACGCAAGCCTCTATTTTGTCCGATGTCTGTTACGGTGGGCGGAGCTAGCTACGGGGGGCCTCCTGTCTCAAGGTTTCGTTTGCGTTATTTCGCGTTAGAATTCGAGATCAGTAGTGTCAAAGCGCCGCTGTATGCTGACGATTTTTTTCACAAGTAATTATTTGGACGATGTGCTGGAAGGGAACGATATGTTATAACTCCTTGATAATATCTAGCAGATCTACATGAGTGTGTCCAGTTTGAGTTTTAATATTTGCCCTTTGAACATCACAGCTGGATGAGTCATAAATTACATTTCCTTGGATAGTTACGCTAGAAAAGGTAACACTTTTCTACATTCGATAATCACACAACGGATTTCTGTGGGAGAGAACGCATTCATCTTATTCACATTGGTGAGAACAAAGTTACAGATGTGGTAGAGAAGCAACGGCTCAAACTAGCACAATTGCTATCGGCGGGCGCTACCTGGAGACGATACCCACAACTGTTTTGCTATGAAAATGACGCGCAGAAAAATAAATCTTTAAAAAAATCTTTTTGAATTTTCAAATTTCTCCTTGCACATGGACTGTATGAGTCTTAGTAACCCATATTCTAAATTGCTTACTTATTTATTTTATTCATTACTTTCATTATCTAATAAATGACGTACTTTCGGAAGGACATTACATCATACTTTGTACAATGATTCACATCAAGTTAATACGGACACCTAATTCTAGTAATTGCTTATTTTCTCGAGATAACTTATTCGAGGAGTGGAAAGTTACTGCAACAGGTGCAATGCGCTAACTATAGTGACCGGCTGGGACATATCATAAAACGAAGCGGGCTTGTATCATTGTATGCTAGGTCCAAAGTGCGCAACACATTTGAGGCATGAGTCGTGTAGTGTTAAATCCTCTCTAGGTAGTGCTCTGACATTCCATAGCTGATGACCGCTTGAGGCAGCAGAGGCACAGAATTCGCAGGGTTTTCCAGTGGCTATTCCGTCAATGTTGCTATGTTTAGTTTAGAACTCACCCGCCGGATTCTAGTTGTAATGGGGCGTAGATTTGGCGGGCTCTCTTGCCATAATATGTTTGAATGTCTGGCCGTGGATCTGAGCAATCTGAAGACGGTGAGTGCCCTCCCTGACGGAGAAGTCCTATAGGATCCTATGGGTTCGTATAGGAAATTGGGCCAATTTTCTATAGGATCCTATAGGACTTTTTGTAAGGGCTGTCTTGTGGATCTTCATGATGCACAGGTCTTGGCTGCTAAGTAGTTTAAATGAACCATTTGGGGCATTTCTGTAGACAACTACACCATTGAAGTGTTGACGAGGTAAGTTTATATTCATATACGTAGGTTAATTTCCAAACCAGTATGATATCGCACTTCACTTCTCAATGCAGTCAGTGCCGATTTTAACACACGATTGATTTGCTAAATGTACCAGTAATAACTAAACTTTTTATACATGATTATTTTTCATCTTAATGTTTTATTATTTGTTAGTCCAGAATGTGTATAATTAATTGCGTTGTTTATTTATTATAGTTTTGTTGAAATCAAGGATAACAGTAAGATTAAAACAACGATGGGATGATTAGAACGGGTCCCAAAGTATGGCTTTTTAAGGCTGAAGTTGTGCCAGACATGACCCAAAGAGCAACATTAATCATTTTTCAGCATATCATATTTAAAAAAATCGATTATGCTATCAACTAATTAAAAAAGGCAAAAAAGTAAGAATGGAGCAAGTAGTAAGGCTTTTACTGACTGAGGCTGTGCGAATCTAAGAGATTATATTTTACCTAGAAACGATTAATAAAATGAAAATTTATATATTATTTTGTGTAACGTTTAAGTCCTTCTGAACATGCCAGGTTTAAAGATCCTTTTTTTTTTTTTGAAAGAATAATAGGCTATATTCAGGGGTATAACTAAAATTTGGAAAACGGAAAGTCAAATTTGCTTCTCAAAAAAAAAAAAAAAAAAAAAAAAAAATCTCAAATATAAAAAAAAAATATGGAACGCTTCACGAATGTGCGTGTCATCCTTGCGCCAGGGGCCATGCTAATCTTCTCTGTATCGTTCCAATTTTAATATATGTCTCACCGTAGTGAAGACAACAGTGGCGTTTTCTTTCTGCTTATATCTAGTTGTAAAAATAGAGATGGCGGCCGAGATGAGTAATTTTTTCAAAATCGTACTTTTGACGTTTTTTTATTTTCGCTTATTAAGCTAGTTACATAATTATGCAGCCCAGGCTACAAAATAACTGTCTGTGTAACGTTTAAATGATTAAAGTATAACCTAACCATATTATGTAATTCATTAGAAATATTCCTTTTCACCCAGCTATTTTATCCAGTGCATCCGAAACTTCGTAGACGAAACGCAGCCCACAAGCCTGGCGCGTGCGTGCCGCCATCTGGCGGTGAATGCGTGACAATAACAAAGTGCACCTACACAGCAGACGAAGTGGTCCTCATGCCTTAAATTGACAAGAGGTGCAGTGACCCTGAGCGAGGTAATCGACAGGGAACTAGAAACAGATTTCTTGGGCGTAACTCCTGCTGATGTATCATGTTTAAAGCACGGGGCAGATTATAAAAAGTCGTCCGAACCTTGAAGCGAAAAGTAAGTCGCTCCACACCGTATGACCACTAAGGCTACATGTATAACTTGAGATTGCTTCATATTTATGTTGTAAACATTTATAGTCAATATTCTAATAGAGAACCGTGTCAACTATGTTTCTTTCAGTGATCGGATAAATGTCTTCTCTGCCACCTCAATTCTCGGCTTTAATTTCAACATTCCGAACAACTCTACCGTAAGTTCATCGTGTAGGGCCTACAAGAGTGAAGGTGTGTAAACTGAGCACATGTCATATTCTTTACTGTTAAGGAACTCTACATAGTAGGCTGTATGGTTGGCTGGTGATCGCTTTTGATAAAATATTGAAATGTTAGTAGAAAAAAAATACATCAAAACTATTATATTAATTGCTGCCAACGTTATTCTGTTTAAAACTCACTCGATGCCACACCATTTACATAAGTTCATAGAGGATTTTCTTAAATGTTAAGTATCGTTTGTTTCCTGTGTCACGGTCTGATTCGGCTAATTAAACTGATGCTGCCTGGCGTTGATTGGTGCAGGCCCGTGCAGGTAATTCACACCGCTTGTTTACTCCCGCTTGCAGTGACGCGCGAAAAGGTCATTTGCACTTGAAATCATTCCCAGGCACTGTTTTATTTTGAATGATACAAATGAAACAAATGAAAAAATAAAAGATACAAACTTTCGCTTTTGGTGTTATCCCACCCTCATCAGCAAGTAATTGAACATTACATGTAGGTGATGTGGTGATCATATGGAAGTACCCTAGGCCTACATTTTGTACGTGTGTGATTTCCCCGCTTTACTATCGATAGTGCGTCATTTTACGTGCAATTGACATCTAGGAGCGTAAAGTGCGATACCTTCGGTCGCAGTTATTATTGTGGACATTTTTGCTGAATCGACTGAGAGACAAAATGACTGTCTATTTATGTATAGACATATCAGTGAATATCTGTGGAATATCAATCTGTCGCCCTGGTAGAGGGTAGGTATCTGCCATTAATTGTCGATGTTACTAATACCAAATTGTTAGGTAAACGAACTGGGTAAATATAGCTCCCCCGCACCCCCCCCCCCCTCCACCTCGCGCTCAAACTAAGGTAAAAAAGGTCAAATAGTAGAAATGCGATCCCGCGCAGTACTGGACCTGATCTGTGATTTGTCAATTTCAGTGAACAGTTGTCTTCACCAGCGTCGCACTACAAAAGTGCGGAGAGCAACGTGTGTATCCTCCGTCTCTGCAGCAAGTGCCTACTATTTCGACCAAAGCTTCAAGTTTTCGAGACTTTTCGAAGGTGAGATAAATGTATGACACAACACCTGTTTTGTTGAATGAAGCGCACCACGACATTTCAAGTTATTTTGCAGAAATTTTCAGGATTTACATGGATACTGATTAGGCCTACTTATAGGGGGCCTACCAGTCATTCATGCTTCAAGTAGGCCTATTTTGTTTATTCCCCGCTTTATAACTAGTAAATCAGTTCTTATAAAAAAACTTATTTAATTATTAAGAAGCTAGTTTAAAAAAAATTTTTTTTTGAGGATATGGTCTGCTAAATAGTAGTGGTAGTGACATGTTATCACAAATATTAAAAAATTGATACCATATAGGTACCATATAGGTGGGCGGCTATGCGGTGCTAGAAGTTTAGGATTTTTGGGTGGAATGCTGTCTATTATTTGTCGTGTTCTGACTTAAAAAAGAAATAATTTATATTATAAAGGTCTACCGTACGCAGGACCCGTGTAATAGAGGCGTAGGCCTACTAGAGACAGAGGCAATACCTGAGAAGTGACAAAAACGAAACCCAAAGAAGATTTAGGGCTATACCATGTTCATTAGATGTTGACGGTTTCAAACTCGCTTTCTGAGGTCTCGAGAGGAAGGAGGATACTTGGACAAATAAAATGTTTTATAACTTTTATTCGTCCAAGGTGGATACGAACTGTCGTCAAGGTATAATGCCACATATTGGTGACCTACTCGCAACCCAAACCTCAAGGACAGTGCCCTATATAGCTGGTATTCACATCTAGTGAGTAGTACTCACAGCCAAGTCGTGCAGTGCTATCGATCTGATCTCTCACCAGTCCTGAAGAAAACTTCAGAAAGCCTGTTGGGCACTGTCAATGTCTATTGAATAAGTTTAAGTCGTATATTTAATTTTTTTTAAATTTATTTTCAGTTGATTTTTTAAATAAGCGGTCCAAGGTAAGTAGATTTACTTGCAAGATTAACATTCGGCAGTTTGTGACATTGTGAATTTGGTCATAATGCCTCGGTAGTGTTTATCTTACTTAACGTTTGATGTTCAAAGTTAGTATTCGCAGTTCTTAGTTGCGTTTTTATTTTTCAGCAGTTCACGTAATACAAAGTTACTTGAGCCGTTTATTATTTTCTAGGTTAAATATGCGTTAGCTTAGTATGTGTAGGGTTTTTGTTTTTTTAAACAATTTTATTGTTTAGTAGCTTGGAGTTCAACGCTTGTTTTTATTTTGCAATTATATTGTTCAGTGGCTTAGAGTTTAATGTTTGCTGTTTTTATTTTACAATTTTATTGTTCAGTAGCTTAGAGTTCAGTGCTGGCTATACTTACTTTCCCTTTATTGCACGGTAGCTCAATATTTTAAAAAAGGTTACAATACAATTGTTCTTTTAACTTTTTGTTCTGTAGTTTAGAATGTTCATACTTATAGTTGTTTTATCTTTACGTTTATCATTTATGTTTAGAGGTTATCACGTTGATTTTATTTTTGCGTTTCATTTATCAGTAGCTGAGAATGACCATGGTTATATATTTGTCTTCAGTTTGTTTTGTTGCCTGATAGCTGACATTATATGAAGTTAGTAGCATTTATCTTTGCGTCTATTCTGAAGTTCATCGGCGTTTTACTGTTTTTGATGATGGAAGAGGACCTCCATAGCAGTACTACAATGTAGTTCTCTACACCACAAGCAGTCTTTTTTCTATTTTTTTAAGCGAGAGGGCGAGCATTTTTAGTGGTGTCGGACAGTCCGTCCCGTTTGGCTGATAACTAGACCGCGAGATTTAATTAATGGCGAGGTGAGATAATGACGTCTGTGTAGCCGTCAGGCTGTTTAGGGTTTTGGAGGTGTACGTGTTTATTGGATTGCCTTATCATTTCACAGACTCACCCTACTGACTGAATGATATAAAGTAAATAAATAATCCAGTGGCTGGCGGCTTTGGGCAGTTAGGCAGACAAGGGGATGGACCTATTTATTTATTTATTTTTAGCTCCTATTTTATTACTCCTTGGAGAGTGCGACAACCTGAAATTTTGTCAATTTCATAAAGATCTGTTGATATCTATGTCAAATATTTAAAAGATTTATTGATGTCTCCATCATTTTATCCTGATTAATGATAATTGTGAGTCAAAACTTTTATATCCAACTGATGTAAGTTACTGATATACCGCTGGTCTCTCTCTCTCTCTTTTTTTAGGCGGACTTCTTACGAGTAGCAGCTAAGGCTACTGGGTGCCCTCCAAGTCTATAGGGTCGAATACACTGTCTTGATCTGTCTTGTCTTTAAATGTTTATACATTGTAGGAATTTGTAGCGTTCTGCATCCTTTGATCTTCCTTGTGATAATGCCTGTTTATGTACACTGTAATGATCTGTTACCGCAACGGCCATCCAAATGCATCTCATGGTCCTGAGCTCTCAAGTCGAAATGGTGAATTCCTGTGAATGTGTACATGTACGTTAGTGTTAGGGCTACCTCGTATTGATACAGTGTGTAATTTCAGCTAATTCTTAGGCTCATTACAGCGATGGTTGCCTTATATACGACTTGGTAAAGGGCACCTTGATGTATGCGATCGATTGCCTTGCCCAAAACTTGACCATTGTTGTACCCCTCATCGTTTCTCCATTTTGGTATTGTCTTTGTTGTAATCTGCCGGGTCACACGGTGTGAACCGATTGACCTACTTCTTACTTAAGGTATGTAGATCTTTTATCAATAAATCCTGTCCTTCATACGATATATACAAGGCAGAGCACTGTCAATGCAATCCTAGTGTGGACTTTGCAAGTGACCTTGCCAAGAAGCAGTGCATCTTTTTGCAAATTGATGCGTTACGACGGCTTTGTCCGAATGTTCTTTGTTACCAACATGGCTTGTTATTGTCACGTGACCCCCGCCAGATGGAAGCACGCATGCGCCAATTAAAGGTGTGCAGTTGAATACAATTTGTAGGCTAGGAGGCTCTGTAAGGATAAAATAGGTAAAATGAATCACTTTGTTTTTTAATAAATTAGGTCAAGTTAATGATTAAAATCGTTACATAATACAGCCAGGGATTAGTGTGGACTATTGCAAAGCTTTACCAGAAATATGAGTGAAAGAATTGGCCAAAATATGTTTTTGAGCGCATAACTTACCTGAGCCGCCATATTGGATTTACGTCCAATATATTGAGCGGATTGCTTTCAACCACATGTCCTCACTTCGGTGGGACATATACTAAAATTGGAACGATACAGAGAAGATTAGCATGGCCCCTGCGCAAGGATGACACGCAAATTCGTGAAGCGTTCCATATTTTTTTATTTTTGAGAAAATGGAAATTAATATTTGTATCGTATATTTGACATATACCCCTGAAAATGAGCTCTAAATGCCTTTAAAATGCCCAAAATTACTCTTTATTTTCATTTTCGCCCAGGACATCCGAATGTTAAGCTAGTTGATGTATTACATAATTTTATGCAAAGTTGGTATTTCATTAAATATTTTTTTCAGAAATTCAATGTTATTTACTTTCTGTGATTTCATATGTCGCATAATCCGCCTTAATGCCAGTGGTTGTTCCACTAGTACTCTTTCCTTGTTTGCAATGTTTTCATAACGCATCACTTACATAACGCACCACTTGTATCTTTTCTGCTTCGTTCTGATATCAAAATTAACTCAGGACGCTCTGTGTCATCCCAATCTTCTCTGTGACATTCCAATTTTAATGAGCTACGGTTTTAGTAAAAGTGAACTCTGCGTTTTAGAACTCTGCGTTTTAGTAAGATTTAACGCTGCATCATCCCAATCTTCTCTTTAACATTCAAATTTCAGAAACTTGCGTCTTCAGAAAAAACGAGCTCTCTCTTATCACAATCTTTTCTGTGACGTTCCGATTTCAGAACGGCGTCATCTGTATAAAATGAATTTTTCGTCATCCCAACTTTCCATGTAACCTTCCAATTTCATCAAACTGCGTCTTGGGTATTAGTAAATAAACTCTGAACTCTGGGACATCCCGATCTTCTCTGTGACGTTCTAGTTTAAGTAAGTTGCGGTTTCAGTAAAAATGAGCTCTTATCACAATCTTTTCTGTGACGTTCTGCCCTGATTTCTATGAGCGGTTTCATCAGTGAAAATAAATTCTTCGTCATCCCGTCAGTCTTCTCTGTGACGTTCCAATTTCAACAAATTGCGTCTACAGTATTAGTTAATAAACTCTGAGCTCTGTTTCGTCCCCATCTTGTCCGTGAAATTCCAATTTCAATAAACTGCGTTTTACTTAAATTTAACGCTGCATCATCCCAATCTTCTCTTTAACCTTCGAATTTTAGAAAGCTGTGTCTTCATTAAAAAAAAAAAACAGCTCTTTGTTATCCCAAACTTCTCTGCGACATTCCAATTTCATTGAGTTCCGTCATCAGTGAAAATCAACAATGAATAATGAAAAATGTCATCCCAATCCTCTCTGTGACGTTCCAATATCAATAAGCTGCGGTTTTAGTAAAAATAAACTCTGCGTCATTACAAACTTCTCTGCGACGTTCCAATTTCAGTGAGTTCCGTCATCAGTGAAAATGAACAATGAATAATGAAAAATGTCATCCCAATCTTCTCTGTGACGCTTTAATTTGAGTAAAGTGCGTCATCTGTAAAATTAAATCTAGTGTGTCATCCCAATCTTCTCTGTGACGTTCCAATTTCAATAAGCTTCGGTTTTAGTAAATGCGTCATCCTAAACATCTGTGACGCTGTAATTTCAGTGAAGTGCATGACCACTAAAAATAAATCTAGTATTCCAACCCAATCTTTTCTGTGACGTTCCAATTTCAATAAGCTGCGTCATCAGCAAAATATGGACTGAAAATGAGCTCATGACGCAGCTGTCCAAAATTGGAACGTCACAGCGAAGATTGAGATGGCATATTACATACTGTGCCATCCCAATCTTCTCTGTGACGTTCCAATTTCAATAAGCTGCGTCATCAGCAAAAAATGGGCTGAAAATGAGCTGATGAAGCAGCTGTCTAAAATTGGAACGTCACAGAGAAGATTGAGATGGCATATTAGATTCTGTGTCATACCAACGTTCTCTGTGAGGTTCCAATTTCAATAAGCTGCGGTTTTAGTAAAAATTAACTCTCCGTCATCAGAAACATCACCTGCGTCACCTGTAAAGATAAAATCTAGCATGCCATCCCAATTTTCTCTGTGACGTTGCAATTTCAGTAAGCTGCGGTTTTAGTAAAAATAAACTTTGCGTCATCCCAAACATCTCTGTGACGCTTTAATTTCAGTGAAGTGCGTCATCTGTAAAAGGAAATCTAGTTTGTCATCCCAATCTTCTCTGTGACGTTCCAATTTCAATAAGCTGCCTCATCAGTTAAAATTGGGCTGAAAATGAGCTGATGACGCAGCTGTCTAAAATTGGAACGTCACAGAGAAGATTGAGATGGCATATTAGATTCTGAGTATTCTATCTCAATCTTCTCTGTGACGTTCCAATTTCAATAAGCTGCGTTATCAGCAAAAAATGGACTGAAAATGAGCTGATGACGCAGCTGTCTAAAATTGGAACCTCACAGAGAAGATTGAGATGGCATATTAGATTCTGTGCCATCCTAATGTTCTCTGTGGCGGTCTTATTTCAATAAGCTGCGGTTTTAGTAAAAGTAAACTCTCCGTCATCACAAACATCTGCGATGCTTTAATTTCAGTATAGTGCGTCACCTGTAAAAATAAATGTAGTATGCCATCCCAATCTTCTCTTTGACGGTCCAATTTCAATGAGCTGCGTCATCAGAAAAAAAAAAAAAAAAATGGGCTGAAAATGAGCTGATGAAGCAGCTGTCTAAAATTAGAACGTCACAGAGAAGATTGAGATTGCATATTAGATTCTGTGTCATATCAACGTTCTCTGTGAGGTTCCAATTTCAGTAAGCTGTGGTCTTAGTAAAAATAAATCTGCGTCATCCTAAACATCCGTGACGCTGTAATTTCAGCAAGGTGCGTGACCTCTAAAAATAAATCTATAGTATTCCATCCCAATCTTACCTGTGACGTTCCAATTTCAAAAAGCTGCGTCATCAGCAAAAAATGGGCTGAAAATGAGCTGATGACGCAGCTGTCTAAAATTGGAACGTCACAGCGAAGATTGAGATGGCATATTAGATTCTGTGCCATCCGAATGTTCTCTGTGACGTTCCAATTTCAATAAGCTGCGGTTTAAAAGAAATTAATTCTGCGTCTTCCAAAACATCTCTGTGACGCTTTAATTTGAGTAAACTCTGTCATCTGTAAAAAAAATCTAGTATGTCATTCCAATTTTCTCTATGACGTTCCAATTTCAATAAGCTGCGTCATCAGCAAAAAATGGGCTGAAAATGAGCTGATGACGCAGCTTTCTAGAATTGGAACGTCACAGAGAAGATTGAGATTGCATGTTAGATTCTGTGTCATACCAATCTTCTCTGTGGCGTTCCAATTTCAATAAGCTGCGGTTTTAGTAAAAGTAAACTCTCCGTCATCACAAACATCTCCGATGCTTTAATTTCAGTATAGTGCGTCACCTGTAAAAATAATGTAGTATGCCATCCCAATCTTCTTTTTGATGTTCCAATTTCAATGAGCTGCATTATCAGAAAAAAAAAAAAAAAAAAAAAAATGGGCTGAAAATGAGCTGATGACGCAGCTGTCTAAAATTAGAACGTCACAGAGAAGATTGAGATGGCATATTAGATTCTGTGTCATACCAATGTTCTCTGTGAGGTTCCAATTTCAGTAAGCTGTGGTTTTAGTAAAAATAAATCTGCGTCATCCCAAACATCCGTGACGCTGTAATTTCAGTAAGGTGCGTGACCTCTAAAAATAAATCTATAGTATTCCATCCTAATCTTCTCTGTGGCGTTCCAATTTCAATGAGCTGCGTTATCAGCAAAATATGGGCTGAAAATGAGCTCATGACGCAGCTGTCCAAAATTGGAAAGTCACAGAGAAGATTGAGATTGCATATTCGATTTTGTGCCATCCCAATGTTCTCTGTGACGTTCCAATTTCAATAAGTTGAGGTTTTAGTAAAAATAAACTATCCGTCATCAGAAACATCTGCGATGCTTTAATTTCAGTAGGCTAAGGTGCGTCAACTGTAAAAATAAATCTACTATGTCATCTCAATGTTCTCTGTGACGTTCCAATTTCAATAAGTTGCGGTTTTAGTAAAAATAAACTATCCGTCATCAGAAAAATCTGCGATGCTTTAATTTCAGTAAGGTGCGTCAACTGTAAAAATAAATCTAGTATGTCATCCCAATCTTCTCTGTGACGTTCCAATTTCAATGAACTGCTTCGTCAGCAAAAAAAAAATGGGCTGAAAATGAGCTGATGACGCAGCTGTCTAAAATTGGAACGTCACAGAGAAGATTGAGATGGCATATTAGATTCTGTGTCATACCAATGTTCTCTGTGACGTTCCAATTTTAATAAGCGGCGGTTTTAGTAAAAATAATCTCTCCGTCATCTCAAACATCTGCGATGCTTTAATTTCAGTAAGGTGCGTCATCTGTAAAGGGAAACCTAGTATGTCATCCCAATCTTCTCTGTGACGTTCCAATTTCAATAAGCTGTCTTATCAGGAAAAAATGGGCTGAAAATGAGCTGATGACGCAGCTGTCTAAAATTGGAACGCCACAGAGAATATTGACATGGCATATTAGATACTGTGCCATCTCAATGTTCTCTGTGACGTTCCAATTTTAATAAGCTGCGGTTTTAGTAAAAATAAACTCTCCGTCATCAGAAAAATCTGCGATGCTTTAATTTCAGTAAGGTGCGTCATCTGTAAAAGGAAACCTAGTATGTCATCCCAATCTTCTCTGTGACGTTCCAATTTCAGTAAGCTGCGTCATCAGCAAATATGGGCTGAAAATGAGCTGATGACGCAGCTGTTTAAAATTGGAACGTCACAGAGAAGATTGAGATGGCATATTAGATTCTGCGTCATACCAATGTTCTCTGTGACGTTCCAATTTCAATAAGCCTCGGATTTAGTTAAAATAACATGTGCGTCATCCCAAACATCTGTGACGCTGTAATTTCAGTAAGGTGCGTCACCTGTAAAGATAAGATCTAGTATGCTATTCCAATATTATCTGTGGCGTTCCAATTTCAATAACCTGCATCATCAGCAAAAATTAGGCTTAAAATGAGCTGATGACGCAGCTGTCTAGAATTGGAACGTCACAGAGAAGATTGAGATGGCATATTAGATTCTGTGTCATACCAATGCTCTCTATGACGTGCTAATTTCAATAAGCTGCGGTTTAAAAAAAATTAATTCTGCGTCTTCCGAAAGATCTCTTAACGCTTTAAATAGAGTAAAGTGCGTCATCTGTAAAAATAAATCTAGTATGTCATTCCAATTTTCTCTGTGACGTTCCAATTTCAAAAAGCTGCGTCATCAACATAAAATGGGCTGAAAATGAGCTGATGACGCAGCTGTCTAAAATTGGAACGTCACAGAGAAGATTGAGATGGCATATTAGATTCTGTGTCATACCAATGTTCTCTGTGAGGTTCCAATTTCAATAAGCCTCGGATTTAGTTAAAATAACATGTGCGTTATCCCAAACATCTGTGACGCTGTAATTTCAGTAAGGTGCGTGACCTCTAAAAATAAATCTATAGTATTCCATCCCAATCTTCTCTGTGGCGTTCCAATTTCAATAAGCTGCGTCATCAGCAAAATATGGGCTGAAAATGAGCTCATGACGCAGCTGTCCAAAATTGGAACTTCACAGAGAAGATTGAGATGGCATATTAGATTTTGTGTCATACCAATGTTCTCTGTGAGGTTCCAATTTCAGTAAGCTGTGGTTTTAGTAAAAAATAAACTCTCCGTCATCACAAACATCTGCGATGCTTTAATTTCAGTAAGGTGCGTCACCTGTAAAAATAAATCTAGTATGTCATCCCAATCTTCTCTGTGACATTCCAATTTCAATAACCTGCGTCATCAGCAAAAAATGGGCTGAAAATGAGCTGATCACGATGCTAGTGTATCGCTCCTCTGGTCTAGGGACACTGACAATGTAGTAAAAATAATAAAACATATACCAACCAATGTCTGTATAATATTATAGTATGTTATAGAAATTTACGTTATATGATCACCTTGATTACTGGTCAAGAATTGGGTATCAGCCACTGTACCGATGTTTAAACTTTAGAAAAGATGGCCTTATTAAAATTAAACAATTAATAGAGCAATTTCTATATTGAATTTCGTACTGTAATTATTATAGGGTAAATTTAAAGAGCATTAAGATATGCTGCATTTTGTTTATTGAACAATTCTTTGGTGAAATGTGTTAAAGTCAATAGAGGGTGCAGCATACCTGTTCTTCCCAGTTTGAACCGAGAAACACATGCAGGTTTACAGTAGGCCTACTCTTCTACATGCCTTCCTTCCGGACCCGTCTGCCATTTTAGAACGATAGTGACAGCAACAATTATATTAATTTTTACAAGAAATCCCATCGTGGCTGTCCTTAGCGAGATAATTCTATCCTACAATTTTTGAAAAATGACCATTTACCAGTCCATTTTCAAGGTAGTTTCAATATTAGAATACGGTAGTTTCTGTTAAATCGTCAGCTTATATTGTAAACTAATATAAGCTCTAATATTTCAATGTCTCTGAGAGCATCTTCATCAGGAAATGAGGCTATCCAAATAATTTTGGTGAACAGTTTAAACTCTTGATTGAAGAAAAACCACCTTCTCTTAATACCATGACACAACTTATGATATTCTTCTCTCACTTGGTGCCAAAGTATTAATCAATTTCGAGGCACACAGATTGAGCTTAATCTGATAAAGGGGATTGTTTTTCTCTTGACGTCTTATATTCCTAAATTGCAGATGATGTCCATTTTCATTTTTCTCAAAATACCAAAGGACACACGTAATCAAGATAAGGGAAATTGACTCTAATGGGCGGATTTAGGCCTACGTTGATTGCAATTGCAATGTTACCTAGTTAGAGTAAGGTCACAAATGGATACTAATTTTTGTCTCCGATATAGCTTTTCTTTTGTAAAGAAGGCTGCTATCCTCAGGATAACTTTCCAGAGGATAGCAATTTTATCCAAAGGATAGTGTTATCCATAGGATAGCACTACTCAGTGTCAATAAAACTGGGCCCTGGCTTGTATTAAAAGACGTTTAGCCGCATATTTCCTATCACATCCAATCTGTCCTTGAAAAAAGAATTTGTCGGATTACCGAAACGAATGACAATTCATGAACAATAGAAAGTTATCAGTAGGCTACATTAAGCAGTTCGGTGAGTATCCGAATTTTAAAATGGGTGCAATTTGTCTATGCGAACTTATTTCATGTATCGGTA